TCAGCCTGCCTCAGCCTCAGCCTGCATCAGCCTCAGCCTCAGCCTCAGCCTGCCTCAGCATCAGCCTGCCTCAGCCTCAGCCTCAGCCTCAGCCTCAGCCTCAGCCTCAGCCTCAGCCTGCTTCAGCCTCAGCCTCAGTCTGCCCGCAGCCTCGGCCTCAGCCTCAGCCTGCCTCAGCCTCAGCCTGCATCAGCCTCAGCCTCAGCCTCAGCCTCCTCAGCCTCAGCCTGCCTCAGCCTCAGCCTCAGCCTGCCTCAGCCTCAGCCTCAGCCTGCTTCAGCCTCAGCCTCAGTCTGCCTTCAGCCTCGGCCTCAGCCTCAGCCTGCCTCAGCCTCAGCCTGCATCAGCCTCAGCCTCAGCCTCAGCCTGCCTCAGCATCAGCCTGCCTCAGCCTCAGCCTCAGCCTGCCTCAGCCTCAGCCTCAGCCTCAGCCTTCAGCCTCAGCCTCAGTCTGCCTTCAGCCTCGGCCTCAGCCTCAGCCTGCCTCAGCCTCAGCCTGCATCAGCCTCAGCCTCAGCCTCAGCCTGCCTGCCTCAGCCTCAGCCTCAGCCTCAGCCTCAGCCTCAGCCTGCCTTCAGCCTCAGCCTCAGTCTGCCTTCAGCCTCGGCCTCAGCCTCAGCCTGCCTCAGCCTCAGCCTGCATCAGCCTCAGCCTCAGCCTCAGCCTGCCTCAGCATCAGCCTGCCTCAGCCTCAGCCTCAGCCTGCCTCAGCCTCAGCCTCAGCCTGCTTCAGCCTCAGCCTCAGTCTGCCTTCAGCCTCGGCCTCAGCCTCAGCCTCCTCAGCCTCAGCCTGCCTCAGCCTCAGCCTCAGCCTCAGCCTCAGCCTCAGCCTCAGCCTGCAGCCTCAGCCTCAGCGCCTCAGCTCAAAGCCAGCCTGCCTCAGGCCAGCCTCAGGCCTCAGAATGGAGTTCTGCAAACTCGAAGAGCACGAAGTGGCCTACAGTTGGCTCCGGGCATCCAAAATGTGGCCGGGGATTGGAGTTCTGGGACCTCGAAGACCACGAAGTGGCCTACAGTTGGCTCCGGGCATCCAAAATGTACGCCGGGAATGGAGTTCTGGGAACTCGAAGACCACGAAGTGGCCTACAGTTGGCTCCGGGCATCCAAAATGTACGCCGGGAGTGGAGTTCTAGCAGCGCCAAGAGCGATTTTGCGAGGATGTCCCAGGCGATTTGGGCTTCGGCGGCAGCCGCTCCGGGTCCCGCCCCGACCCCCCTGAGGAATCATGATGTTCTCTTTTGACACCACTAGAAACCTATCAGTTTTCGTTGTCAGGTAAAAAAGTGTGTGTGGGGGGGGGGGGGGGGCGGCATGGCGGCAACGTGTGGAGCCCATGGCGGCAGCCGCCAGAAATTGGCGCACCGCCCACTGGCAGCGGCTGGCGGCTGGAGCCCCGTGGCGGCAGTGGCCAGCACACAGTTTGCCGACGGCGTGCGGAAACCTCCTTACATCTCGTGCTAATGGCACGCCGCACGCCGCTCCATAGCTCCGCCAGCGGGGGGGGGCCAGGCTGGATAGGCCTGTCCACCCCAGTGCAATCGACCGTCCCGAAAGTCGGGAGGAGCACCGCCAGCAGGTTCACGAACTGCCGCAGGCGCCCGCACGGCCACGAGCTGCAGCGCCGCGGCCCCAGGCCCGCCGGCCCCCCTGTGCGCTGGAGCTCCGCGTGGTGCTGTAGCCGTGTGGGACCCCACGGCGGCAACGGCCGCAGCCCCACGGCGGCGACAGGCGCAACCAGGCAAGCCAGGGCAGACACCTCAGCCCAGGTAGGGCCTCCAGGTGCGAGTACTGCTCGTGGAGAACAACATGGTCGCATCGATCGCGTTCCGCTGTTGCCCGGGGTGTTTTGAGGGAGACGGGCAGTAGCAATCCATGCAAGGTTAAGGCAAACCTTATGTCTCGTTTGCAGGGCGTTGCAACGAGTCTGGCGGCCTACGCTATTCCGCCTGCCCCCAGATTGCCGGCGGTCTTCTTCGGGAAATCACGCACGTCCTCCTCAAACAGGATTCTGGGATCTTTGGGGGGGGGGGCATGGGCGAATAGCCAACGACATCACACGCTGTTTCACTCTCGGCAAGCGAGGGACGGTAGAACTGCAGCTTGCCGTAAATGTATGGACATTCTATTGCACAGGTTCCCTTGAGTGAAGTGGGCAAAGTCGGGAGGCGCAGTGCTTTCGTGTGGTCCGTCGACATAGTCGATGTTTTTAGACTACGGCCTAGGAGCTTTATTTTCGAGATATCTTCCATTGCTGTTTTGGCTCCGGCACTCGAGGGTACCCATGACTCTGTTTTGGACAAGAATACGGCCCCCCTGGTAGGAATGATCACTTGCTATGGTTGATGTGCGCTTCAAGTGTCCACACCGAGCGAGTCGCGTGCTAGTCACGACGAGCGTGTGCTTGCTGGCCACAGGTGGCCTGGGTGGTGGATGCGACGAGATTTGTGAGCTGGGTGGCCAGGCGGCGACGTGCAGGGACCGCATCCACTTCTCGGCGACGCAGACGCCTGTCTCGGCCGAGCCGCTGCCATGCGAGATCGCCTACGGCCGCGTGCTCGGCGAGTGCCCCAGCTGCTCCTCCTGTGCCGTGGGCGACGTGGCAAACTGCACTGGGAAGCCGGGGCGTGAGCTGCTGCGCGACGTCGAGCACGCCAGCTGCGACGCGGCGTGCACGTTCGAGGGCCTCTCCGCTTCGTGCCGGGAGCGCGCGGCTTTCTTACAATTGCAGGACCAGGTCGCCGGGAGGGGGCCAGGCGCTTGCGGCAGGGCTCTGGCGGTAGTGCAGCAGCAGTGTCCAGGCTGTTCCAGTTGCTCTTCCGAACAGCTCGGCGACGATTGCGGCCCAGCACCTCCCCTCCCTCCTCCTCCTCCTCCTCCTCCTCCTCCTCCTCCTCCTCCTCCTCCTCCTACTCCTCCTCCTCCTCCTCCTCCTCCTCCTCCTCCTCCTCCTCCTCCTCCTCCTCCTCCTCCTCCTCTTCCGCCTCCTCCGCCCTTGAAGATCGATATAGCGCCGCCACCTGCCGATGTAGAGTCCGGGTGTTCTACGCAGTGCAAGATGGGTAACAGAACCATGGGGTGTAGTCAGCACATTTTGGAGAAGGCCAAGCAGTTGTTCCTGCAGAGGTGGGGTCTGTCTTGCGCGCTGGCCTACGGAGAGGTCGTCCACGATTGCCCCGACTGCACCGTGTGCTCATTTGCGAATTCGGGCTGCTCAGTCCAGGCGCTGTACACCATGACCAGCACGACCACCACGACGACCACCACGACCACCACGAGCATCACGACCAGTACAAGCACAACGCTCACCACAACGCTGACCACCTCGTCTACCACAACTACTTCCACCACAATGTCTACCGCGTCCACCCCGGAATATGTCAGAATGTCGGACGGGCGCCGCGCTGAGCCCGACGACGCCCAGACCAAATTCGCGGGCCTCCGCTTCCTTCGTCAGCCCCAGCCGGAGCCGCATGTGCGGCATGATGGTTTGAAGCCCTGGGCCAGCCTGGGCGCAGCGGTCGTCTCTACGGTCATGGTTACCGCAGGCGTGTGCCTGGCGAGCCGCTGCTGCACCGGCGGTCCCGTGAGCGCAGGCGGCGCCCGCGCGACCAGGGCCCGCGGCCGTAGACCCTCTGCCGGAGGCTGGAGCTACCTCGCCGTACCCGCGGAGGAGCTGGAGGCGCCGGCGCCGCGGCCACAGTGAGACGAGCGGCGGCCTGCGAGCCGAGCGAATCCTCTTTCTTCTCTCAGAGGCCCACCTCTGGCACTTGCGCCCTCCTTGAGGCGTTCATGCCCGACCATCTCTGACAAGCACGCCATATGACTTCTCCGAACTGGGCAGACGTAGTGATTATGAGAAGTGGGCCTCTGAGCTTGTCCTGCTGTCGGAAGTGAGTCCGGGGCAGGCGCCGGGCGGAGGCCCCCGTGCAGGCTAATGCACCGATGGCGCTGGACAACGGCGGCAGCGGCCAAGAGATGACCAGAAAATCTCCCAGCACTTCGTCGTCGTCGTCGTCAGTTGTGCTGCCGCCCGCGGGCAGCGTCGTCGCCAGCCGCCGCCGCCGCCGCTGGCAGCCCCCAATAACACTGGCGCTGTTTGCCGAGACTTCTTTGGGGAGAGTTAGAGCTCGGCTTCTCCGAAGAGGACCTCCCAGCTTCAGATTCAAGTTTTATCGTGCACAAAGTAGCGCCGTGCGTGGCCCTCTGGCCTCCTTGTCCTCCACCGCACGTCCAGCACATGTGTCCCCTACTCGGCGCTCGGTCTTGGGCCTGCTCGCGAAGAGCTGTTCGGCCAGCGAGCGTTCCGCACGATAGGATTACAATATTATTGTACACCAGGGATCGAAATACACATGGGCGCTTGCATCAATATCGGCCAGAGTCCGTGGTTCTCGGGATGTTGAGGCATGTTTGTTGGAGATGTTTAAGGGGGAGTTTGCGGGTATCGTTTCGAATCAGACTGCGCACTGCAGAGCGGTATCAAGGCCCTCGATGTTCAAGGAAAGTGGTCCTTCAATTGTGCGCTTGAAAGCTCTCCACCGTGCCCACTGCTCGACATCAAGTCACCCAACTGGGCCTCTCGACTCCGAACGCCGCCGGCGTCGAGAATTTTTGAATCCTTGCGCGCACGTGGCGTGATGTGACCAGCCTGTGCTCAGAGGCAACGTTAACGGGGGGAAAGGCTGAGAGGGGAACGTATGGACCCTCAGTCGCCCATTCGTTTCCGACCCGATCGCCCACCCCGCCCAGGAACGTGCGGCCTAGCTGTTGGGGACCTATCGCCCGTCTATCGGCGATGCATCGCCGATTCCAGGTCGATGTCCCCCCCCCCCCTGTGCGAGAGCCAGATGCCAAGTGTGGCCGCGTGCTCTCCCAGAGCGCGTGGCCCTCCCGCGTAAGGGCACGGCCACGCCAGCCCTCCCGTGCGCGTGTGTCTGGCGCGCGGCCTCCGTGTGTTTCACGCGTGGTCGGCGTCGAGAGCTCGTCCCGCAGCACGCCAGGTGCAGCAGCTGCGGAGGTGCATGGCGCTGGCGCGGCAGGCCGACCTGGCCTGGATCCGAAGCACCCCGCCCCCCAGTTGGGGCCTGGCAGCCCAGAAAAGGAATTGCGGAGAGGGGGGGCGTTCTGCTGCATGGAAGGCTAAGGCCAGGGGGGGGGGAGGACGGGACCCGGAACGGACGAAACGCTAGCCCGAAATTGACAAAAGTTACATCGACGTGTTCTCATCGTCCAGTTTGCTTGCATTTACCTGACCGGGGCCGCCCGCGAGGCGGGCGTCCGCGAGGTCGTCCTGGCCGGAGACATGAACACCGAGTGCCTCCCCGGTTCGTGCGTCGGCGCGCTGGTGGCCCCCTCCCTGGAGCCGTCGCGGCAGGAGCCGGGCGCCGCCGTTGTCGTCGTCGACGTCGACGTCGTCGGAGGAGGAGGGGGAGGAGGAGGAGGAGGAGGAGGAGGAGGACGGGAACGGGGAGGAGTCGGCCGGCCCGATGACTTCTGATCCGTCGCAATTAATGTGTTTGTTTTACGGCGCCTCCTCGCTGGCATCTCAGCGATGTCTGGCTCCAAGCGCAAAGGGACATTTCCTGCAGAGAAGGATACGAACAGTTGCACTTTGGATAGCAATGTGGACAGTCGCTGTTGGTGCCTACGCCCACGCATGCCTTATCTTCCCGCTTGAGAAAGTGAGCTTGAGTCGAAGAAACGGCAGCAAGAACTGGAGTCGGTTCCGCGTGCAATGTACGCAAGGGTCAGTGTTGAGTCGTTTTGGATTGATGCTTCTGAAAGAGCCACAGACACTGTTGGAAAGGTTCGCGTTTGAGGTGTGTTGTCACTATGCCGACCGTCTGGCGTTGTCGCAGAAGTCCTTGATGCGAGATTGTGTGGTAGTGGTTGCGAAGACTACGGTTCAGAGGCGGTCGCCCACCCAGACAGATGCGAAATGGGTAATGAATGTTCATGCCGACCAAGACGTAGCGATGCTGCAGGATGAAGTAGTTATGGTCTTACCACTGGTCTCCACAGTGACTAATTGCAGCGATGGCAGTGCTGCGCTCGCTGCACTCGCAAAGCCAACGCTCGATATGGGCCCAGAGGGCATATTCATGGCGCCACTGATGGAAGACGATTCGATTGATGCTCACAGCATGTTCCCATCTCGCCGACGACTTGTGGCATTATGTGGCAATCAGTTGCACGGTTGTCCGCCGAAGCTCGAGGAACAGAGTGTGGAGCGTACTTTGGTATTCGTCAGCACTTGGGATTATCACCGGCCACTCGTTTTTCGACAATTGTGGTTTCCTAGAAAGAATGTGCCGAAGGAGATGTTCTGCGATGGCGCTCAACGCAGTACTCCTATTCACTTCAAGCCCGACGACCCAATTGCTGCAAGTCGAGCTCGCATCCGAAGACGCCTGTTTTGGCTCTTGGATCTTGACAGGTGTGAGTTTACCAGCTCAGTTGGGTGGAGAAGTTTGGGTCGTCAGGCAGACTCGCGGTCGCATTGCGCTCTCTTTGCGATCGAAGCGCTCTTTGGAACCTTGCCACAGCGAAGCCACTGCACGAGCTGAACCGAAGCGAGGGCCCAAGGCCATAGTGGCCAGCGCTGCGATGGAAATAAGGCGTGCGACAGCATCTCCAACTGCCAAAGGAAGAAGACATCCGGATGAAGCCTTGGAGCCAGGCCACCTCGCACACGAGTGCAAAGTCGCGGAACCTTGTTTGACGTGTTCAAATGCAAGAAAAAACCATATGTTGAGATCATAGTGTCGGCACACCCATCACGCATCTCGTGCCCCATGGACCCCCAGCGGGCCTCAGCTGGTCTCTGAAGATTTTCCCATGCGGCCCCAATTCGGCACATCCCTCACGCACTTCGTGTGCACCCCTGGAAGCGTTCGACAAAGTCTAATTGAATCAGGATTTCGACACACCCCTCACGCACTTGAGGTCCCCTGCGGGAACGTAGCGGGAGCAGGGCGGCCTGAGCCGCGTTTGGCACCATAGGTTTGCCAGAATTTGGAGAGGAAGGTGTACATTGGCATGCAAATTGCGTGCAAGCAGCGGCTCCGCACCCTCCACCGCTCGATTATCCTGGGGCACGTTAAAAACATGTGTGATGCCAAACGCACCCCTCTGCTGTGCACCGCCCGCTGCTGGACAAGGCCCCTCGCCGAGAGCCTTCCGAAGGCCCCGGAGGCTCTCGGATGTTCTCGGAGGCCCCCGGGAGCTCTATCTGCTGTGCACCACCCACTGCTAGACAAGGCCCCTCCCCAAGTTGATTGAGGACGCATCCTGCCCAGCAGCCGTGCGCCACCCGCTGCTAGACGAGGCCCTTCCCCAAGCTGACTCAAACAACATTTTTGGTAACAGACGTGCCTCTCTCCTGTGCCTCGCCCGCTGCTAGACGAGGCTCCTCCCCAAGCTGATTCAAACATTAGCTGGCGAAGGATCAAGCCACATGTAGCTGCGAGCATCGTGCGGCAGGTGATAGGGAGGAGGGGGGCCAGCATGAGGACACCAGCGTTACTAGAAAACGAGCAGCGGGCACGGGCCCGCGGGAGGATGCTTTGTTTGGCCCGTACCCCGAGTACAGCCGTTGTCATGCCCCGCTCTTTCGCCCCCCTTGTTTCCGTTGTGCGTTGCGTTCATGCCGGCCTGGCACTAAGAAGCGTGTGAGGGGCGTGCTGCATCGGGTGCGAGTTCGCCATGTGGACCCTGCCGCTGGAACTTCGGTGGAGCTCCCTAGACGGCCGCGAAACGCGTGAGTGGTGTACCGAATCGAGCGCGGGCACGCCATGCGGACCCTGCCGCTGCGGCCTTCGGTGGGGCTCCTTATGGGGCCACGAAACGTGTGATGCGTGTGCCAAATCGGGTGCGGGTACGCCAGGCGGACCTTGCCGGTGAAGCTTTGGTTGGAGCTCCATAAGGGGGCACGAAACGTGTGAAGGGTGTGCCGAGGCAGAGACAGATGGAGGGCAGAAGCAGGGATGGGAGGAGAGAGCGGGAGGAGGAGGAAGAAGGAGGAAGGACGCGGGCTGTCTTTACAAAACGAGAATTTTCATTCCTCAGGATGGTTGGGAAGTATCCTTGGTGCTAGGTGCTCCCCTCTGCTGTGCTCCGCCCGCTGCTAGACAGGGCCCCTCTCCAGGATGTTTTCGAAGGCCCTCGGAGGCTTTCCCTTGAGAGTCCAATCCGCGCTAAAGAGCGGTTCTCGCAAACGAAGGCAAAAAGAGCTGCTCTCTCGAATTAGGTGCTGTCGCGAATTGAAAGCAGAGATTATACATGTCAGCTCTATGCTGATTATTTTAATTGCCGGTTCATCGCAACACGTTGCTATTCATGTTGCCTGTCAGTTGCCGTTGGTGTTAATCGAGGCCCCCTCCCTCCCCTTGTTCCTCTTCCTCCTTCCTCCCGTGTCCTCCTCCTCCTTCCCCTCCCCGCGGCGCCTCCTCGATAGGAGATGACGCCCCCTCCTTCGTTTCTTGTTCTTTCATCGGTCGCAAAGGAGGGGCACGGCTCCCGATGTTGGAGAGGCGTCGCCGCGGATTCACTTATGAAAGGCGTGGCTTTGGGTTCGTGTTCGCGTCCCTGTTGCCGTCCTGCAGCGCGTGCTTTTTGGCCAAGATCACCCATCGCTCGTCGACCGGCTCCTTGACCCTGGGCCCGTCGTGGTGCAGAACCTTCCTGCTGAGGCCAAGGCGGATGTCATCTGCGCATTGCTCGCAGCAGGGCTACCACCAGCCACCAGCGAGCTGCTGCACGCAGCGCCCGTGTTCCGTCTCGCACGCAGGGCCGAGGGCGCCGCACGTCGAGCACCGAGCGCCCCGGGCTGCCGTGGCAACTGTCACGGCGAGTTCGTGAGCTCGAGTCGGACACTTTGCATTTGAGGCCAAACACGGGCGGGGCAGAAGATGAGATGGTGGCGCGGGGGAGATGGGGGAGAAGACGACGTGGAAGCGGAGGGATGGGAAGCGGGGAGGAGGACGTTGGGGGAAGGAAGCTCCGAAGGGGATCGATCTGGCCCTCCTGCACAGGAGGGCTGCTGCGGGTAAACGACCTCTGTTTTGGAACTGACCGCGGGCCACGCCGATGCCATCACAGGATCCCCACGAACGGCTGCGAGCCAAATCTGGACTTCAATGTGGCGTTGAATCCTTTGGGCGCGAGCACGCTGCCACGACGCTTGGCGAAGTGAGCGCCCGTGCCTCCGAAGTCCTCGCCTCTGCAAGTCCTGGATGTCTCCGGCTGGAACCCGCGCAAAGCTTCAAGGCCCACCTCGAGCATTCGATGGATATTCGGCCTCGTTCGAAACAGTTTCGGGCGCATGCCGCGCAGGGCAGCGCACTGCAGGCTGAACTCGGTCGACTGCTCATTCAAAACGCTTCCCTTCAGGTTGCCGGTTTTCCAGCAATGCTAACACGGAGACATGACACATCTCATTTCTTATGGCGGCCTCCGCGGTGACATTCGGGTCGCACAGTTCGTCGACGAATGATTTCCCAAACAGCGCCATGTGTCTGATAACTGCGGCGCAGGCTGTAAGGATCATTGTCTTCTTGTGCCCGATAGTCATCATGGACAAGCAGTGCAATCGATCCGCTCGCGCCAAGTATTCAGACGACCCCACAAAACGTCGCATTCACCCTCGCAAGTGGAGCCACGCCCCCTGCAATATGTTGCCACGCCAGCGTGTACCCGATCGCTTTTCCAGACCGCTTGACCAACCCATGGACTTGACATCGTTCGCGGGATTGTGACATCACGTTCCATCTAGCGTTAGATCAGTTGCGCCTTCGTGCGCCCGTTGCTCTGCCATGGCGCCGCGCGGCAAATGCGCTAGTGCAGGAATACCTGACGAGGGCGGGGAAAGGAGTAGGAGGAGGAGGAGGAGGAGGAGAAGGAGCCGCAGCTGGGTTTGCAATCCCACCGCGGCCTGTTGCGGCGTCACGTCGCATTTCCAGCAACACCCCGCCTTCTCGTTGTACTGAGGGATTCCGAACGCTTGCCTCACGCACGCCCAGGCTGCGCGCATCTGCACCAGTTCAGACTTACAGCCTAAACCTGCGCCTGCCCTCCTGGCCCTGCGAAAGTCAGAATTCAACCAGTCTGCGCCGTCGGTTCGGGCGGTTGGGTATGCGCTTGTAGCCATGAGGCGAACACCCCCAGCAATCACATCGAACCTATCACGCTACGTGCTCGTGCCCATGGAAGCCCTGAGGTCGGTCACTTGCAAAGCTTGCCCCTCTAAGTTACCTTGCGCTGCAACTCGAATATCATTTCGAAACCCCAAAAATAGCACTGGGAAGTCTTAAAGCACTTCGAAGTGCTAGTATAGGACATGCCCGTGCTATACATCATAATACTTAGAAGGCCTGCTGCCGTGCACAGGAAGAATTATCGAATGTTCATGCCTTGCCAGCAGACATGTGGTATGCTAGGTGGTTCGACCGCACGTAAATCAATATTGCGTCTGGCCAATCCCGAATGGTGCCACAACATTGTGCCTGGGACAGACGGCCCCCCAGCCGCCTCCAAGGTGAATGTTCGTTTCGTTTGTTCGTTTCGTCCTCTTTCGATTCGCCCGCCGTCGTTTTTGTTTTGATTCACCCTCGATCGTTTCGTCCTCTTTCGGTTCGTCCTCTTTCGTTTCGCTCTGTTTTGTTTCGCGTTCTTGCGCGTCGTCCTCTTTCGATTCGCCCTCTTTCGTTTCGAATATTGGTCTCCGTGCTGTACGCCACACCGCTATTCATCATTATGCGATTGGCCTCTTGCTGCGGCTGGTCATGCAGGTCGTGGGGCACCTTCGCCTCCGTGCTGTTCGAAGTGGGCCTCGTCGCAGATTCTGTCGTATTTGGCGTTGATCCACTAGGCGGGTCGGGGTCGACTTCGTTCTCTTCATGGTGGAGGCGCCTGCCTGACCAGAGGTGGGGGGGAACTGTTGCGTCCAAAAAACAGATCGATCAGCCCTCTGTCATTTCGTCCTCTTTCGATTCACTCTCTTCTATTTCGTCCTCTTCCGCTTGCCCTTTTGTCGTTTCTGTTTTTTTCGATTCGGTCTCTTCCGTTTCGTCCTCTTCCGTTTGGTCTTCTGCCATTTCGTTTGTTTCGTTTCGTCGTCGTTCGTTTCGTCCTTTTTCGATTCGCCATCTGTCGTTTCGTCTTCGTTCGTTTCATTGTTTTGTGTTTCGTCATCTTCTGTTTGGCCCTCTGTCGTTTCGTATTCTTTCGTTTCGTACTTTGTCGTTTCGTCCTATTTCTTTCGGTTTCTGTCGTTTCGTCCTCTTTCGATTCGCCCTCTTTCGTGTCGTCCTCTGTCGTTTCGGTCTATTCCGTTTGGCCTTCTGTCATTTCGTCCTCCCTCGTTTTGTCCTTTTTCGTTTCGTCTTCTTTCGTTTCGTCGTCTTTCGTTTCGCCCTATGTCGTTTCGTCCTCTTTCGATTCGCCCTCTTTCGATTCGCCTTCTGTCTTTCGTCCTCTTTCGTTTCGTCCTCTTTCGCACGTCTTCTTTTGGAGCCCGGACGAATCAAAGCCGGACGAACCGAAGCGGACGAACCGAAGCGGACGAATCGAAGCAGCACCACGCGGTCCCGTTGGGGGGCAGGGCAGTGCCAGGGTTCGAATAAGAAAAAACTGCAGATACAAAAATTGTCGAAGCTCCGCGCTGATTTCCTGATTTCTTGGATCGGTGCCGGACCCCCCTGGCGGCGCCTCCAGCGCTGCCCCTGGCGCGTTCCGCGCACCAGGGAGGGGGGTCCAGCGCCGATCCAACAAATCTGCGCGGACCTCCGAGTTGTTATGTTTATGCTGTTGCTTGTTCCTCTAAGGACAGAGGTACATCGTTCCAGGACTTCCTGTAACGCTCTCAGAGCGTTCTGGAGCGCTCTGGAACGGCCGCGGTGCCCGACATACTCAAGAGCAGTTTGATCTCAGAGATCTCCGTTTTCTCCTGGCCCGATGTTGTCTTTGTCCCGGGTTCGTCTCACGGGGGGGCAGGGCCCATTCCTTCGCTAGCAAATCATGGGAGCCTTGCATGTCCTCGGAATCCCATCTTTGGGGGGCACTAGCGTGCGCTAGCGTCTGGTAATCGACAAGAAAGCGCCGAATTGGCGTCGGTCAGCATCGATTTAGCGTCGATTAAAAGTTGATTAGCGTCGATTGGCGTCGGTTAGCGTCGGTCAGCGTCGATTCGCAAGGGCCGGAAAGATGATATGGGAGGCTCCCATGATTTGCCACAGAACATTTCCATCCGATCGATCCGATTCGCGATCGACTTCGGCCAGTTCGATCCGATCGATTCCGACCTCGCGGCGATCCGATGCGATCCGATGCCCGCGCGCTGTTGTTTTGCATCTTGGCACAGCCGATCCGATTCGGTTTCGACTGCGTGCAGATGCGGCCCGATCCGACGCACGTTTCGATTCGATCCGATTTCTCAATTCAGTTCTGACTGATCTTGGGGGCTCGTCGCCGTGCCTCGCTGCCCCCCAGACCTCATCGCGTCGTGAAAAGGTCACGACGCGAGTTGCTTGGACGTTGTCGGCCTCTGGGGAGCCCTCGCTACGTCCCAGGACCGTCAGGAAGCGGCTCGGGATGAGAAGGCGGTCCCGGGGAAGGGGTCCAGACCTTTGGGGGACCACCTTGTGAACAAACCTCGACGTCGGCGGTCTGGGCCTCCAGGCTCCGCCGTCGGGAGGGTGCCCAGGGAAGCAAGATGCCCTTCAGGCGCAACGTCAGGAGGGGTGTGGGGCTTGATTTTGAGCAGATTTGGGTCGGAGGATGAGGGGGAAGAAGAGGAGGCACGACGTACTGAGGATAGTGGTTACTGGGAGGAGGTGGGGTACTTTGTCGAAAAGGCCTGAAGTCACGGTGCCACCGGACAGGTGTTCGAGGTTTGGCTTCAAGGTGGATCCCCGGAAATCCCACGCCCTTCTCCCAAGGAGGCCGCAAGAGGGGTCCCTGACGGAGAACACGAGCTGACATTTCCAGATTGTCGCCCCGAGAAACCTCCCGGAGGCCCCCCACAGGCCCCCACAGGGTTTCCACGAGGGCCCCTAGAGAGCCCCAAAGGGCCCCAAGAGGCTTCCAAAGTGTCTTCAAGAGGGCCCCACGGTGGCCCCAGCGTCGCCACGGCATGATTGAATGGCGTGCGGAGTTTCCCCTGTGGGGGGTCCGCCGTGCTCCCGCTCTGCGGGCTCCACAACCCTCGTCATGAAATTCGTCATCGACAACAGTAGCGTCGGCATCATCAGCATCATCGCCACTTCCACCACCATACTCAGCAGCATCAGCGTCATCATCGCTATGGCCAACGCCACGATAATTCGCATCATCAACTGCATCATCGTCGTCATCGCTCATTGTTCATCTTCCTTCTTGCTCATGCTCCCTGCTCCTTCTCCTCCTCCTCCTCCCCGAGACAGCGTCCCCTCGTGGCCGTCTGATCCTCCTCCTCCCCGCTTCTCCATGATCACCACCAGCGCCGCCATCCCAGCCACCATCATCATCATCATCATCATCATCATCATCATCATCATCATGATCATCATCATCATCATCATCAGCATCATGATCATCATCATCATCATCATCATCATCATCATCATCATCATCATCATCATCATCATCATCATCATCATCATCATCATCTCAGGACCTGGCGCGCGCGTGCGCCGCCGTCTTACAAGTCCAGCGGCTGAACGCCGAGGACCTGGACGGGCACGCGGGTGGCGCGGCCAGCGCCCCCGAGCCGAGCGAGGAGCAGCTGGGCGACGGGGGGGGCACCAGCTGTCCACCTGCACCTGTCCCGGTCGGGCAGATCCGGGCCCAAGATCGAGGCGGATCGAGCATCGAGGATCTGATGTTTTCGGGATGGCTCCACACTTTTTGAAAGTTTCGGGCCCTGGGGTGCGTTGCAGCAGCTGCGCCTCGTCAGGCGTCCAGGGGTGCCCCGATCGTCGCAACCGGCCGCCCGAGACCCGAGGTGAGGGCCGAAAGCAGACCCGCCCAGATCCCACCGCTGCTCCGCTCCCTCCCTGCTCCGGGATCGGCCCAGCCAGGCTCCGGGCAGGCGGGCAGCCAGCCCCCACCCCGAGGCGAGTGGGCCGAGCTCTGGCGGTGGGCCGCCTCGACGGTGCAGGAGTTCAGGATACCGCTCTCGCACGTGCGCACGGGGCCCACGCGCGCCGGGTACGACCACGGCAGGAGCTGCGGCCCCTGCGTGTGCTGGCGCTTGGACCTCAGGGGTAACGTTGGCAGGGCATAGGCCCAGAAGGGGGGGGTACTGCGACCCCCGAGCGCCCACGATGGCCCACCCCCGCCCAGGAGCGCGCAGATCCGCTATCGGAGGCCCATCGCCCATCCAGCTGCGATATTCCTATTCTTATATTTTTATTACCCGGACCCCCCCCCCCACCCCCCACCCCCGGACCCACCCCCCTAAACTGGATCCTTCCCCCAGGGACGCTCCGGACGCCCTTTCGGACGTTTCGGCGGCCCCCTGGACGCCCTTGGAAAAGGTTCGGTGGCCTTTCTGGGCTTCCCAGGGCGCCTCGCTGGGCCTTGCGAGCCGACTGAAGGCGATTAGAGGGGTCGTCGGAGAGGCGCAAGAGAGACCCAAGACAGCGCAAGAGCGCTCCAAGAGGAACCTCGATGGTCTGAAGACGGCCCAAGAGGCCCCCAAGACACCCCAAGAGGCCGTTAAGAGAGCCTCGAAGAAGCCAAAATCGTCACAGTCCCTCAGGAAATACATTTGTTGTGCATATCCGCTTTTGGGGTCTTCGCAGCGTCCAAGACGGCCCAATGGGCCCCCAGTCTCGCCCCAAGACGGCCCGGGAGGCCCCCTAGAGGGGTTGAAGGCGGCCCAAGAGGGCCCCAAGACTGCCCCAGAGAGCCCCGAGACTGCCCACAAGAAGCCCAAGATGCCCCCAGAAGGCTCCCAAGAGAGACCCACGAAAGCCATGGGATACCTCCAAGAACGCCACTGGAGGCCCGCAAGAGGGCCCTAGATGGCTTCAGAAGACCTCTGGAGGGCCCCAGCTCCCCAAGGCGGCCCAAGAAGCCCCCAGGACGGCCCAAGAGTGCCCCAGGACGGCACAAAAGAGCACCAAAAACGACCAGACGGCGTTCTCCTACGAAATACATCAAGCTGACCCGACGATCTTGGTTCCACGTTTGAGGCTCGAGGTTTCAGTAGCTACCCGATCGGGGAGACAGGCAATGGATCTAGATTCGAAATTCGACGATCGAAGATTTCCTGAGTGCCTGGAGCCCTCCAGGCATTCGGGAAGCGATCACAAATAGATGTGTTCGGAGCTACTGTGACTTCTTCGGCGTGTCATGGGAACGCTCCTTACTTCCTCAAAGGACCTTCGCGCGCGAAAAAATCAGCATGATTTCCCCCTCCTGCGCACAAGCGTGCCAGCGCATCGTCCGAAAGCGGTGTCAGCAGGCACCAGGGATATCGGAAAAATAGGCGGGTCGCCCGTCCAGGCCTCGAGGTCCTCCCTGCTGAAGAAAGCGATGATTGATTGTTTTGCCAAGGAAGCGTCCGGAACAAGGCGCATGGCGCGAAGCGCCAATGCAGTCTTGTACATATATATGTGTGTGTGTAGAGAGAGAGAGAGAGAGAGAGAGAGAGAGAGAGCGAGAGAGAGAGAGAGAGATTTCTCTTCGAATATTCTTGAAGTGGAAATCCCCCCCTGACCCCCCCCGGACATAAATTCGGCCTTGGGTGCTCCCACCGACGTCAAATTCGAAGTTCGGTTTCGGGAGCCCCTCTCCAGGTCATCCCTGGACGGTCCCGCAAAGCTCCAAGGCGGCCCAAGACCGCTGAAGAACGGCTCATGAGCGCTCAAAGAGGCTTCAAGGTGGCTTCAAGACGGCCCAAGATGCTCTCAAGACGCCCCAAGAGGCCCCCAACAAGACCCCCAAGAGGTTGAGCCCCATGAGCCTGATGAGCCCTTTGAGGCCTATGAGCACTAGAAGCCCCATGAGCTTTATGAGCTCACGAGCCCCAGGAGCCCCATGAACTCAATGAGCCGAGCCCCATACCCCCCGACCCTCCATGACACCATACGAGCGCGATGACCCATATGAGGCCTATGCGCCCTATGAGCCCTAGAACCCGCTCAGCACTAGGAGCCGTGAAGCATTGCGAGACCCACGAGACCCCCCTCTGAGCCCTACGAGCCCAGTGAGCCGTATAGGGCCTATGGGCCCTATGAGCCCTATGGCCCCGACTTGCCCCTTCACCCCAATCTACGCGCTCTGTTAGCGCCATGGGCCCGATGGCCCCCAGGAGCATTGCGAGCTCTATGAGCCCAATGGCCCCCAAGAGCTGATGACTCCAAAGTCATGACCCCCTGGAGACGCATCGGCAGCATTACCCCTCGCCTAAAATGGGGGCCCCGAGCCCCTGGGCCCCATGACGGCAGAGACCCCTTCTGAGCTGACTGAGCGCCGCAATATTCCCTGGGTCCTATCAGCCCTGTTTTCTTCATGGTCTCCATGGCCAGAACACACCGCGTCTGTGACGACAACCGATATCATCGCGCCTCCCTGGCGCCATGCGACCAAGATTTTAAACGCGAAGCGCAGCGAGACGGTAAAATCTTGTGTATGTGTATGCATGTTTATATGTCTATATATATATATATATATATATATGTATGTATGCATGTACATATATACATACATATATGTATATATGTTTGTATGTAAACATATATATATATATGTATGTGTATATATATATACACATATATATATTCTTATATTTTTACGCTTCGCTCATTCCGCCGGCCCATACAGTCTCATGTCTGCCGTTTGCCCGAGGGCCTGGTGTCAATGCGGCGCTTTGGGGGTTCTTTTGACAGGCGTCTCGGGAACCTCTTGGAGGCAGTGTTGAAGCCTCTTGAGGCCCCGTAAGGGCCGTTTGGGGGTCGTTGGGGCTTCTTGTTGGGCTTCTTGGGTGGTTCTTGGGGTGTCTTGGGGGACTTATTGGCGGGATGTTGGTGGTTTCTGAGGCGCTCCTAGGGGCAGAATCCCCCTTTGGGCGCCTTTTGGGCGGTCTTGGTGCTCTCTTGTGCCGTTCTGGGGTTATCTTGGGCCGTCTTGGGCCGATTTTAGCGGATTGTTGGGCTGTCTCGGGGCGATGTTGGGGGCTATTTGCGTAGTCTGAGGCGCTGTGAAATTCGAAACGCCGTTCATGCGGGAAGTGTACATGTTCCTCTTGGAATCGGACGATTTTTGATTGTAATGGCCGTCTTGGAGGGCCTCTTGAGGCTCTCTTGGGGCTTCTTGGCGGCCTCGACGGCAATTTTGAGGTCATCTTGGGCGATTTGGAACGATTGTTCGGCGACTTGAGGCCGCTTGGATTGTTTCGGGGGCGTTCCAGTGCCGTTTTGGCGCGCTCCTGGAGCGTTCTGGGGGCATGAGCCGAACGTCGCGCTCTGGGCGGCGTGCGGAAGCCATTGTGTGAGAGGGCGCGGTGGTGAGAAGAACAGTTCACCCCACCCGGTTTTCCGGGCTTTCCGGCGTAAGGAGGGCTTCTTCGCGGCACTCGTGAACGCTCCTGGACAGTTCGTTTTGGGCAGGTTCTTGACGCTTGTTGCAAGTCTGTAGGGGCCCCGTTGGGAGTCTACCGAAAGGAGAGCACATTGTAGCATCGCTTGCACTTGCTTGCGTGCTCGGGGGGGCATTTGGGGGGCCTCCTGGGGCCGCTTGGGGGACTCTTGGGGGCCTCCTGAGGGCCTCGTGGGGGCCTCTTGGGGCCTCTTAGGGGCCTCTTGGGGCCTCGTGGGGGCTTCTTAGGGCCGAGGGCTCGAAATGTTGTTTCGTGTTCCCTCTCTGGGGCCCCTTTGGGGGCGTTCTTGGGGCCCTTTTGGACCGTCTTGGAGGCTTCTTGGGCCGTCTTCGAGCCCTCTTGGGCCATCTTGGGGCCCTCTTGGGGGCCTCTTGGGCCCTCTTGGGGCGATCTTGGGGGCCTCTTGGGCCGTCTTGGGGCGTCGGGAAGCCGAAAAGGTGGAAGCTCCAAAATCTGTCAAAAACCTAAGGAAAAGCAATGATTTTTGCCTCCTGGGGCCCTCTTGGGAGTGCTCTTGGAGGCCTCTTGGGGCGTCTGGGGGCTATCTTGGGCGTCTTGGAGCGATCTTGTGGCATGTCGGACCCCTCGTGTACCATCTTGGGGGCCTCTTGGCCTTTCTTGGGGCTCTCGGGGACGTCTCGGAGCCCTGTTGGTGCGCTCATGGAGCGCTCTGGTGGAGTCGCCCAGGGATCAGCCGGGACCCGCCCGGGGTACTTTTCGTCCGGGGACCCCCAGGGGCCGCCCCGCGCGCGCGAACTAGAGAATTGTTAACCAGTTACCGGAGATCTTAGCACGCCTCTGGCCCGTTGGGCCGGCGAATTACCCGGAACCTCCCCCACAACCCCCCCCGGACCCCCCCCCCTAAACCGGATCCTTCCCCCAGGGACGCTCCGGACGCCCTTTCGGACGTTTCGGCGGCCCCCTGGACGCCCTTGGAAAAAGTTCGGTGGCCCTTCCGGGCCTCCCAGGGCGCTTCGCTGGGCCTTGCGAGCCGACTGAAGGCGATTAGAGGGGTCGTCGGAGAGGCGCAAGAGAGACCCAAGACAGCGCAAGAGCGCTCCAAGAGGAACCTCTATGGTCTGAAGACGGCCCAGGAGGCCCCCAAGACACCCCAAGAGGCCGTTAAGAGAGCCCCGAAGAAGCCAAAATCGTCACATTCCCTAAGGAAATACATTTGTTGTGCATATCCGCTTTTGGGGTCTTCGCAGCGTCCAAGACGGACCAATGGGCCCCCAATCTCGCCCCAAGACGGCCCGGGAGGCCCCCTAGAGGGGCTGAAGGCGGCCCAAGGGGGCCCCAAGACTGCCCCAGAGAGCCCCGGGACTGCCCACAAGAAGCCCAAGATGCCCCCAGAAGGCTCCCAAGAGAGACCCACGAAAGCCATGGGATACCTCCAAGAACGCCACTGGAGGCCCGCAAGAGGGCCCTAGATGGCTTCAGAAGACCTCTGGAGGGCCCCAGCTCCCCAAGGCGGCCCAAGAAGCCCCCAGGACGGCCCAAGAGTGCCCCAGGACGGCACAAAAGAGCACCAAAAACGACCAGACGGCGTTCTCCTACGAAATACATCAAGCTGACCCGACGATCTTGGTTCCACGTTTGAGGCTCGAGGTTTCAGTAGCTACCCGATCGAGAGAGACAGGCAATGGATCTAGATTCGAAATTCGACGATCGAAGATTTCCTGAATGCCTGGAGCCCTCCAGGCATTCGGGAAGCGATCAAAAATCGATGTGTTCGGAGCTACTGTGACTTCTTCGGCGTGTCATGGGAACGCTCCTTACTTCCTCAAAGGACCTTCGCGCGCGAAAAAAAACAGCATGATTTCCCCACTCCTGCGCACAAGCGTGCCAGCGCATCGTCCGAAAGCGGTGTCAGCAGGCACCCAGGATATCGGAATGGGCGGGTCGCCCGTCCAGGCCTCGAGGTCCTCCCTGCTGATGAAAGCGATGATTTATTGCTTTGCCAGGGAAGCGTCCGGCACAAGGCGCATGGCGCGAAGCTCCAATGCAGTCTTGTATATATATATATATACAAGACTGCATTGGCGCTTCGCGCCATGCACCTTGGTCCTTGAAGTTTGGCGTGCAGGCGGAATAGCAGTAAGGTCAAGCCGAGAATTTAGGCATAACTCCTTGTTGCCTTTTCCGGCATCGCCGCTAAAATAATGTTACTTGTTATCCTTCCTCCATGTTTTGTTTTCCTCATGTTCGCCATACCCTGCGCATTCTCCCTATCCTCCTCAGTTTTTTTTTTGCGGAGGCTCCTCCTGGGAGAGCCTCTGGGGGCCTTAAACAATGGTTTGAGGCTTCCTTAAGGCCTTCTGGAGGCCTCCTGGGCGTATTCTGGGGGCCTCTGGGGGCTTCCTCGGGCCACCCTGCCTCCAACCACGGTCTCCCTTAACGACCGGGTCACGAGTTGGAATGCTTCGGAGGGTGTGTTGGGGCCATCTTGGGCCGCCATGTGGCTCTCTGAGGGCCATCTTGGACCCGTGCTGTGCCGTTTTGGGGCTCTCTCGGACTGCCTGGAAGCCCTTTCGGATGTTTGTGGGGCGATTTTGGAGCCTCCCAGGCGGCTTCGGACGCCCCGAAGACCGCCGTCTTGGAGCGTCGGGAAACCGAAAAGAGGAGAACCCCCAAGTTCACCAAACTAAAAGAAAATCTATGATTTTTGCCTCTTGAGAGTGCTCTTGGAGGCCTCTTTGGGGCCGTCCTGGAGGCCTCTTGGGCCATCTTGAGGTCACGTCGGTCACTCTTGGAGCGCTCTTGCGCACCCAAAGCCCCAGATCCCAGGAGTCCCGTTTTGGGGGGGGGGGATGGGTTTTCCCCCCGCCCGGGCTTATAAAAATATAGGAAGAGGAATATGTGTGTATCCGATTTCAGGTCGATGCTTCCCCCCATGAGCTAGTAACCCTGCCCCTCAGGACCACATCTTCTACACCGCGCGCAGCCTGCAGCTCCGCGAGTCCTGGGACGCCCTGGACGGCGACCCGGAGATCGGCGGTTCAAAAAGTGGGGCCCTGAGGGATGGGGCCCTCGCGACGAGCGGCTTCAAACAGGCAGGCTCAGTTTGGGATCCCCCTCCTGCTCTCAGGGCCCCATCCCTCGGGGTCCCCATCGCAGAACCCCCGAGGAGAGCGCCGCCGTGGGCCTGCCGAACCGCGCCTGCCCCAGCGACCACCTGCCCGTCGCCGCGGCCTTCGCGCCCGGGCCCGCGCCGCGGCTGCCGAGCGAGCGGCGCGGGGAGCTGCTGCGGCGGCTGGAGCAGCTGCAGGAGGCCCACGAGGCTCGGAGGAGGAAAAGGTATACCGATTGCCGCTGCCCTTCCCCCCGTCGCCACGGTTGGATTCGCCCCGAAGTTCTGGTCAGAAGGCGCCCCCAGGAAGGTCCAGAGAGTGCACTGTCGCGATGTATCGGCACCTTTCTGTCCCCTCCCCCCCAAAGGCGGAGCTGGCCGCCTCGGCCGCGCGGCCGGAGCCCGCGCCACCAGCCGCAGAGGAGGAGAACCAGCCTCCCCAGAAGAAGGCGAGGAAGAAGAAGGAGCGGGCGGGGCGTCGGCCGACCACCTCGCCGGCGGGTCCATGGCCGGGCCCACACTGCCGCCCATGGACCGATGTCTGCAGGCCCTCCTGCTGCCCTGGCCAGGGGCCCAGGAGGGCCCGGCTGTGCACACCCATCCTGGGTCCTGGGCACAGGGCCAGCCATGGGCCCATGCCTACAGGTGGTCGGCCGGCGTCCCCTCGAGAAGGAGCGGGCGTCCCCGGAGGAGCAGGCCGCGGTGCAGGACCGCAGGCGCCGGCTGCGGGAGTTGCGCGAGCGGCACGCGGGCGAGCGGGGCTCCTTCTGGGCGGCGCTAGGCGAGCTGGAGCAGGACGCCCTCGAGGCGGAGGACCCGTGCGTCGGGCAAGATTTAGCGGACGAAGGCCGACAGAAAGTGAAGTTCCCCGCCGTCGGGGACGCTTGCCCCAGGGCGAGGGGAAAGTTTGTACCTCTGCAGTGGCATCTCGGGGTATAGGCTTTCAAGCCGCCTTGGGCAGGCGTGCCCGACGGCGGAAAAGAAATATGTCATACCGTTGTCCGTCCGCTGAAATATGGCGAGGGGGCCGACTGGAAAGGCAGGAGCTATCTTGGAACACATCCTGGCTCCTCAGGGACCTTCTCAGAAGCCCGGGGCCTTCCTGAGAAGGCCCCTGCCTTGAAAGAAGCCCCCCGCCATCTTAGAAGGCCACCCCCCTCGTGCCAACCATTTTGCGCGCGCCGCCAAGAGGACCTGTGCGGGCCAGAGTGGGTGCAGACAGGCGCCCGCAGGCGCCGGGCTCGGTAGGCGTTGTTTCCACGGATCGGCCTACTATCAATCCCAGTGAGGGTTTGAATGCATGGCCTGCGCGAGCGAGAGATGAGTTTGTTTATTCTACGTGCGTGTGTCAAAGTTCTCGTGTGTTCCTTCCCGGGCGCCAGCGCCAACACCAATGTTTAATAGTGTCCCCGCATGTGTGTAGTAGGCCGATGTATCATGACATGCGTGCGTCGAGGCCGAATCTGAGTTGTCAACGACCCTGTTTCTACACGTCCTCTTCTTCTCCTCCTCCCCCGTCTCGTTCTCTTTGCTCTGTTTGGATAGTTGCCACGTGCTGTTTTTCTTTGACATTCACTGTAGCATCAAATCAAGTATGAGCTTGCCACGCTCCTTCGGTGAAATCTCTATGCACGCTTCATGAACATTCATCGCCGCCCAACTCTGCATTCAAACCAGAGTTTCAGCCTTCACTCCACACCTTCGCTACATCCTAAATATAGGGTGATTGTTATTAGTGTGACGCCTCCGCCTCCTCACTCCCGCCTCTTTCGGTTATCGTTCCCCATATCATAAATATGGGGCCTTTGCTCTCGATATCGGAAGTATGGGGTTCGCGTTGTTGCTGGAACACCTCCTTCTCACCGCCGCCTCCTCCTTCCGCCCTCTCCTCACTCGCACGCAGACTCGCTCACACTCAAACTTCCTCACGCTCAGGTTCATTCGCACTCAGACACAATCACATTCAGATTCTATCACATTCATATTCATCCACACCCAGACTCACTCACACTAAGACTCACACTCAGACTCACTCACAAACAAACACACTCACACACATACACACACAGACCACTCACATGTTGTGATCATGTATCGAACGAGGTGCTAGTTTCAGCCTGATTGTGGGAATGTCTCAGGCGGTTTGTCTGTTTGGTGGCTTGGATGTCGGCGCTTTCAGAGCAGTGTGTGTGGATGTCTCAGGCGATTTACCTGTTTGGCGGCTTGGACTTCTTTGCTTTCAGAACAGATCGTGCGGATGTCTCGAGCGAGGCGCTGGCTTCAGCATCCTAAGGGAGAGGGGCGCCAGGGGGTGTTGCACCGGCCCGTTCGCGCCCAGATTGTGGGGATGTCTCACGGGGTGTGCTTGCTTGGTGGCTTGGACGTTGGTGTTTTCGGAGCCGATTGTGAGGATGTCTCTGGCGAGGCGCTGGTTTCAGCCCCCCGAAGGGAGCCGCCAGGGGATGTTGCAGACGCACGTTCGCGGCCAGAGTTTGCGGATGTCTCAAGGCGGTGTGTTTGTTTGGTGGTTTGGATTTTTTTGCATTCAGAAAAGGTTGCGAGGATGCTTCGAGCAAGGCGCTGGCTTCAGCGCCCCAGGGGAAGGGTGGGCGCCAGCTGGTATTTCACTGGCCCGTTCGCGCACACATTGCGGCTGATGTCTCAAGCGGGTTGCTTGTTAGGTGGCTTGGACCTCTCTGCTTTGAGAAAAGATCGTGAGGATAGCTGGAGCGAGGCGCTGGCTTCAGCACCCCAGGGGGGAGCCGCCAGGAAGCGTTGCACGTTGCACGGGCCCTTTCGCTGCCAGAGTGTGGGGATGTCTCGAGCGAGGCGTTCGGTTCGTGGTTGGGACTCCTCTGCTTTCAGAGCAGGTCAGGAAGATGGTCTAGACACCCCCGACCCATCTCCTTTCAGAGTCCCAAGAGCTTGCTATGCAGCAGGCATAGCACTTGGGCACTCCAAGAGGGAGCCACTCGGGATCGCTCAGGCGCCACGGGCTACGATTCTCTCACTCAGACGCACACGGAAGCGCCAGGAACTGAGATGCACACGCGGGGATGTTCGCGATGCATGGTTATGAGTGTCATGCCTCCGCCTGTTTCTAGTCTCTTCCTCTTCATATTCAGATCGCTCTCACTCAGGGCCCATTCTACCCAAACTCAACCCAGACCCACTCGCACTCAGGCTCACTGACGTTCATACCACTCACTGAGGCGACTTGTGCCACGATGCAGGAAGATTGAAGGAGACAGGGAGGGCGGCCGAAGGAGGAGAGAGGGAGCAGGGGCCGCTCAGGGGGACGGGTCGTGCCCGGAGCGAGTGGCGCGACCGGCCCCGCTGACGGGGAGCGGTGGCTGCTGCGCCGGGGCCCGGCGGCGGTGGGGCGCAGTGCGGGCATTGAGACTGCCAGTGGTGCAGGCGATGTCACGAACAGTGCCAAAGCCAGAAGTAAATGGCGGTGCGTCCCCGGGCGGGGGGGCGAGGAGTGCCCAGTCAGTTGATAAGCCGCTGCGGCGGCGGGCGGCGAGACCGAGCCCAGGGCAGCAGCGCAGGCTGCGAGCAGCCACCCATCGCCATGGCGGCAAGCGGAGTGAGGAAGAGGGAGCCGGGGAGGTGAATGCGAACACGGAGGAGGAGGAGGAGGAGGAGGAGGAGGAGGAGGAGGAGGAGGAGGACGCGCTTGCGAAGACCCGCAGGCGGGGCGGCGGCGCCGGGCGCTGCCACACGGGGCGGGAGGGCGCCAGCGTACGCCCAGCAGGGCACCAGGAGGGCTCCAATTGCCAGCGGGGGGCAGGATCGATGAACCAGCCGAAAGCAATGACCTGGCAGGGTCCGGAGAGGCGGGACGGCGAGAAAGAGGTGGGCACCGAACTGGTGCATGTCAGACGGATGAGAGCAAGGACCCATTGCCCAGGTGGACACAGTGGGCCCGCCAGAGGAAACGGGGGGCTACCGCCGTCGGAGTAGACGGCACGGAGCCCGCCCCAGCCCGGTCAAAATTGTGGCAGACGCCAGCGCCCCCAACCCTCTGGGCAGGGCGGGGGGCGGGGAGGGGCACCGAAAAGGTACGGGGCAGAAAGAGCGGGGGGGCGGGGGCGCTCGCCGCCAGGGGGGCGACTGCGAGCGCACCTGGGCTGGCCAGAACAGCATCGGAAGACGTCGCCCCCAGCACCCAGCACGGCTGGCAGGGGGCGGGGGCGTGGGAAAGCATTTAATTGGCGCGCGTCGGCGAAGAAGACAAGGGAGGCCTCCCCCCGGCCCGGGCGGGCCGAGAGGGCAGCGCGGGAAGGGGCCGACGGCGCCCACCGCGGTCCGCATGGACGGCCGCGAGCGCGCCTTGGTGTGCAAAATTGAAGTTCAGACCCGAGCATCTAGCCTGACAGGGGTTGCGGGCGCAGCCGGGAACTGAGCAGAGCAGCGCGCCACCAGGGGGGGCGCGCGGCAGGAGCGGTTGCAGGCTCAGAAGAAGACCGGAGTATATTGGACGCGAATTGGCAGTGGCGCGGTGCCCCCAGGGCTGCCGCAGGGCATGTTCGGGGTGCGCGCTGGGCGCGTTGGCCAGCCAGTGGGGAGGCGGGCCTGGGGGGGTTGGGCGGGCAGGATGCATGGCACGCCCTGCAGCGGTCAGGGGAGGATTAATATCGTGCCGTGGGTGACGAGCACTGTTCCCCGATGGTCCGGGAGGCGCGTTTGGGGCATGGTGTGCGGCTGCTGGGAAAGCGTTGCCTGGTTTGCTCGTTATTGGGCCAGGTTGGGTCGGCGCGCCGTTTGCTTTTCCCCGCTGGGTCCCGGCCTTTGCCTTTGCCCTTGCCCTCGTCGGAACGCAGTTGCTCAATCCTTCGCACGTGCTTGCCCCGTGCAGCGCGCCAGCCGATGCTCGTCGTGCCCCGCTTCCTGCACAGCCGGCGAATGTCAAAGTTTTCATCGCGCATCTGGCACGCGACCTCCTCGCAGAAGTGTTCCTGCCCGGCGGGGTTGCACGTCGCCCCCGGCCGCCCTCCCCGCCGGTCGCAGAGCGCGTTCCAGCCGATAATGAACACGGGGCCGCATTTATTGTTCAGCCGGTTGACAAATTCTGGCTGGGACTCGCACCGGGCGGGCTCGGTAGTTCCACGCGCAGTGCCAGCGCGCGCCTCGGCGGAGCTTGTTGTCGAGGCTGTCGTCGGGGTCGCGGTGGAGCGCGCGCCTGGCGCGGATGCGGGCGGGCCCGATGCGGAGGGAAGGACGGGCGGGCGCGGCCCGCGCGTCCGCTCGGCGCCGCGCCTCCACCGGCGGCGGAGCGAGGAGGATCGGGGTTGCCGCTGGTTTGTTCTGCGGCCCGAAAAGTCACACGCGCGCGCCCGCCGCCAGGTCCGTCAGTTGCGCCCCCTTCCGCCACCAGCTCCGCGCGGACGCCCGGGCTTGGATCGACGCTGCCGTCGCTCCTTGCCGCGGTGGGGATTTGAGCCGTCGGCTGGCGGGTTGGCGAGCGCTCCTGCTCGCCGGCGGGGGGGGCTGGCGGGCGGCTCGGGTTCGCAAGAATCGCCTAGAGACGGCGCGGGCGGGCGGCGGGCGGCGGTTCCCGGCAGGGGGGGCGGCGGCGCCCTGGGCGGGCCCTTCGATCGGCAGGGGGCGGGCGCGCGGAGACGGGAGGGGTGGGCGCGCCACCAGTGGGCCCTTGGGCTGAGCTGCTCGCCCCCCGGGGGTCGCGCTGGCTGGGCGTCGCGCGATGCGCCCGCGCTGCGCAGCGCGGGGCGTGGGCCTGTCCTGATCTTGTTGTAGTTGGGCTTGCCGCGCCCGGGTCGCAATGGGCAAGCAGCAGGGCCTGGAGGCTTCGGATCCCCAGAGAGGCCAGGAAACCGAGGAGGAACTCCCGGTTGTACCTGCTGGGATCGTGGCCTATGTCACGTGCTTGTCGATCGGCGGTTGTTCAGGCGGTTGAAATCCCAGAGATTTGCCACTCGTTCTTGTCTTCCCTCGGCGGGGGGCTGGGTCTTCTGCCTCCGGAGGTAAGCGACTAGGTGCGCCAGGGCAGCTTGCTTCCCGCCCCGTTGCGTTCCGCCCGGGGCCCCGCTGTCGGGGTCGGCGGCGCCGCATATGCTCTCGAGGAAGCCTTCGCAGTCATCTTCCGACCAGGCCCTAGGACCTAGGATCCCTTGCGGTGGCCTGTTGGGAGGGCAACCGCCGATTGATTCTGCAGGTAGTCGGCCCACCCCCATCCAGGCTTCGTCGGCGTCGCGGCGCAGCGCCCGGGCGCGGTGAACCACGACGGGCGCAATGGCGTCGTCAGTCTTCCCGTCTCGGGGGTCTGGGGGGATCGCCGCGCCCGCTTATCGGGATTTGACATTATCCCGTTGCCTAGGCTTGGGCATGGGAGCGGCGCAAGATCTGGACGGTTGGCAAGGATGGCCTTGCCCGCGCGATGGGCAGCCCTGGTCAGGGTGGAGGCCCGGTGGGGGGGGTCCGCGCTGCGGCGCGCGGCGGCTGAGCTTGTCCCTTCGCTCGGGCCGCGGGCAGCTTGCACCTCCCGGGCTGGCGCTAGCCCGCGCGGCGGCGGCTGCCGGCGGCGTTGGGGAGAGGTGCTACTCGTGGTGCTGCTTGAGATGCTCGCGCTGCGGTTGCCCCGCCTGTTCGGCCCCTCCGCGTCGCGCTGCTCTGGGCGCGGGCAGGGGACCTGCCGTCGCGGCGCGGGCCGCCAGGGGCGCGCCCGCGAGGGGGGCTGCCGGGCCGGCGCTTGCGCTCCTTGGGAGCGCGTTGTTAGGGGGCGGTCGCCCCTGCAGGAGCGGGCGCGCGGTTGCGGCGCGCGGCTAGTGAGACGCGCGCGGCCCGCGCCCCCTTTGCCGCCCCTTGCCGGGGGGGCGGGCGCGGCGCCGACCGGGGCCAGCCTCTCTTGGCGGGCGCAGGGGGCCCCTCGGGGTTCTGCGCGCGATTGGGTCGCGTGGCCGCGGGGAGTCTCCGATGGCGACGCCAGCGAGAAGAGGTGCAGGGGGTCAATTTCTTGCGCGTCTGGTTCACCTCCGCCAGCTGGAGATTGCGGACTGCCGCTGCGGGCACTTGCTGCGTTCGGGTCCAGGAGCGGGTTCAGCGCGGGTTGCGGCGGCGGCAGGGGGCGCGTCCGCCTGGGCGGGCTGCCCAGGCAAACCCGGGCTCCGTCGCGGCCAGGATTTCCTCGACGTCGCCAGGGCGGCGTTCCAGAGGTCGACCAGGCAGCGCTCGCAGTGCCAGGTCGCGTTGCTCTGCATGTTGGAGAATAGTTTGACCCAGTCGTTGAACGGCGGGAGGCCGCGGGCGGTGGACGTGGGATCGGGGTTACTGGGGCAGTAGATGATGATGCCTTTGGGGGCGCATCCGCACTGCCACTCGCGTAGTGGAGATGCGCTGGGGCAGCGATCGCATCTGCATTTCCGGCCATCTGCGCTGGCGTTCCCTCCGAACCTGTCTTCCCCGGCGCGCCAGGCGGGGATCGCGGCGTTCGCGCTGGCTGGGCCCCGAGCGCCTTGCTGGAGCAGACGGAGCTGCCAGAGGTGGCTGGGCGTCAGGGAGGTGGATGGGCGGCTTGGCAGACAGGGGCTCAGGGGTGACCGCGTCCTTGGGAAGGCGTTGCTGCGGCTCGAGGTCGCGGGAGGGTGGCTGACCTGCCCCGTTCGGGCATGGGGCATGGGGCGGCCGATGACTTCATGGTGTGTCGTCCAACAGCTGGTGCAAAGCCACCGGCAGTCGGCTCTTGTAGAACTCCAGACGGCTGGCTGCAAGCGCGCAGGGCCAGGAGGCACCTGCAGCGGCACAGCCGTCGGGACGGTCATACCTCGAGGGGCTCGGGCCGTGCTCGAGGATCGACGCCAGACAGAAGCGCCTCAAGGAGATCTACGCCCCGCACTAGGGGCCCAAGGCTCAGCACTGGGCACGGCTCGTCGAGTACGAGGGCTGACGCAAGGTGGGGGCGGCGACGGCTGACTTCCGCGAGCTGAGGCGCGAGGAGATGAGGCGCCAGGCGGAGTTGGGACAGGCGGCGGAACCGACCACGTTCCCCGACGTCCGCGAGCCAACGCCAGAGGAGAGACGGCGCCGCGAGGAGAACAAGCACTGCCCACCGCGGCGCCGGCGTGAGCACAGTCAGATGGGACGTGGGCGTGACGGGCCCCACGAGCTGCTGGACGCGGAGGTGGAGCGCCCCCCCGTGATCGGACTCGATCTGGCATTCTTCAGGGGCGAGGCCGCCGACGCCGCGGAGGCGGGCCCCCGCGCCGAGGATGGCCAGAGACAGGACGAGGAAGTGGTGCTGGTGGTTGCGGATGCCGACACAGGCGCCACGCGCAGTGTCCCGATGCCCGACCGACGCGCTGATCCTTAATTACACGGCGGCAGCCACGGTGGCGTTCATCGAGAGCTTCTCCCATCAGAAGGTCATCCTGAGGCCAGACCATGAGGACGTCATGATGGACCTGGCCAACAAGGTCGTGGCGGAGCTGCCCAACCGTGTGGTCGCGAGACCTGCACCTACGCTCAGCTCACAGTCGAACCCCTCTGAGAATCCAAATGGCATCATCCAGACGCAGTTCCGCACGAGCAGGAGCGCGCTGGAGGCGAGACTGGGGGCCAGGGTCCGACCAGGCACGGCCATGCACAAGCGGTTGCAACGCCACGCGGGCCGGGCATGCACCAACTTGAAGATCAAGGCGAGCGGTCGCGCAGCACACGGGGACCTCTACGGCCACGCCTACACCAGGGAGATGGCAACTGCAGGGGAGTCCGCCCTGGCGCGTCTGCCCAGGGGCAAGAACCGCAGGGCGAGAGGCAAGGTGCACCACAAGGGTGACATGGGCTTCGCGAGGGCAGTCTGGCTGTGGAAGAGCTACGACACCGACGAGCACATATGCGCCCTCGAGACGGGGGAGCCAGTCACGACGAGGACCGTCAAGAGGCTGCCCGAAGAGCGGAGATTCAACCGCACCGCTGTGGCGGCGACCACGCACATGCCGTGGCAGCGCCGAGGGCAGGGCACGGCCCCGCGCGGGATCGAGCCCATCGTCACGCCCCCTGCCGCTGCGGACGCCGACCTGGCGGCGCAAGAGGCAGCCGAGACTCTGCCAGACCCGAACTTTGCTGCCCAGACCACTGGGGCCGCCCATGGCGGCGGGCCAGCAACCCAGACGGGCGCGCCCACGGCGGCGCCGCCGACCGAGGCCGCGAGCATCGCCGAGGCGCCTGCTGGAGGCAGGCAGGCGGAGCCAGCGACACAGACGTCGGCTGGAGGCGGCGCAGGGGGCGACACCCCCATGGCGCCGAGAGCTGCAGCACCAGCGAGCGCACCTCCGCCGACACCCCCGTTAGGTCGATCGCCGAAGCGACCCGCGGAGGAGGGTGACAACCGAGGCACTCTTGCGAGGCCCCGAGTTAGCGGAGTGGTGGCAGAGCACTGTGATAACGTTCGTCCTGGCTCCCTGCAGATCCTCAGGGACATGGACGCTCCTGACCCCCATGATGCGTCGGATTCGCAGTTGATCGAGGCTTCCACCAAACGGGCCCTCGACGGCCTGAAGCCGCACGGGGTGGGCAAGCTCGCCAAACGGAGCGAGGCCGCTGGCAAGAGGATTTGCGCCCGCCGGGGCCATGTCTACAAGCGGGACGCGAACCTCCGATGCAGGATCGCTAGGTGAAGGTACGTCGCGCGAGAGTTCAAGTGGCAGGAGCATCGCGACGACCTCTTCACGCAAGGCAGCAGCATGGCTGACAGCCGAGTGGTGGACCATGTGGCTCCGAAGCACGGATGGCCCGCCTTCACTGTGGACGCGGAGGACGCGCACTACCATGTCCCCGAGGAGGAGGACGCGCGGGTCGAGCGCCCGCCTGAGATCCTGGAAGAGTGCCGCGCGAAGGGCGACACTGAGGACTACGTTTGGCAGCTCGCGAAGCAGTTGCCAGGACGGCGCGCTGGAGGGAAGCGCTGGGTCGAGTTCGCCGCGGAGCAGCCCATGGCCAGAGGCTTCGGGCGGTCACCGACCGCGCCGCAGTTCTTCTGGCACGCCGGGCCCCCATGTCTGGTGGAGCTGCACACGGACGACATGCACGGCACAGCGCCTGGAGTCGTAGGGTCCGACTTCGCGCTGGACCTGGGCCGTGACATCAAGGTGAAGTGAGCAGGCCTACAGGGCGACGGTGCCGACTACGAGTTTCTCAAGAGGTGGCGCGTGCGAGAGGCCGACGCTACCTACATACAGCCCAACGAGAAGTACCTCACGAAGGCGCTGGAGGCGCTAGACCCCGAGGGGGGCAACCCGCGTGCCACCCCAGGGGTGGAGGCGCACAGGACAGGCAGGGATGGCACGCCCGACCTTGACCCAGACGAGGCCATGCTGTTCAGGAGCGCGACCATGTGCCTGCTGTTCGACCTTCATGACCGCGAAGACGCACAGTTCGACATTAAGCACCTGGCCTCGTGCATCTCGTCGCCCTGCGAGGCGGACATGCGGGCCCTCAAGAGGCTGGCAAGGTACCTGAAGGGCACGATGGGGCCTGAGCGTGAGGATGGCCGAGCCCACCACGCCATGGGACATCGTCGACCTGGTCGCGTGGACAGACGCCGACTGGGCAGGCGACGCGAAGGAGCGGAAGAGCCAGACCAGCGTGCACATCACTGCGCGCGGGTGTCCAATGCTCGGGATCAGCTGTCGTCGAGACGCGCAGTCCCCTAGCAGCTGCGAAGCCGAGTGGCACGCTGGAGCTCGAGGTCTCAGCGAAGGACTTGGGCTGAAAGCGCTCTTCATGTCCATGGGCTACAGCGCGCGCATGAGCCGGCGATGCGACAGTTCGAGCGCGAGAGCGCTGGCGAGGCGTCAGGGCACGGGGCGGATCAAGCACCTTGCCACGAAGACGCTCTGGATCCAGCAGTTGGCGGCTAAGAAGATCATCATCATCATCATCGAGCCCGCTGCTGGCGACGACAACCTGGCGGATCTCGGCGCAAAGGCGTTGCCGAGGACACGCCTTGAGTGGCTCCGCGAGAGCTGCGGATTGAGGGAGGCGCCCGTGCCGGGGACCTCGAGGGTAGCTGGAGCCGGGGCCATGCCGACCGACTTCCAGGCCCAGTCCACCCCGCTGAAGGCGTCGCTCGCGGCGGCCGCGTCACTCCCCACAGCGGCGAAGGGAAGCTCGACCGAGCGGCGCGAGGCACCGCAGGAGGTGGGCGGGAGCTCGTTGACTTCAGTGGCCATGCCAGGAGTCACGTCTGAGGGCTACTACGTGAGCCTGACCGCGCTGATGGCAGGCGTGAGACTTGGGCTCCTGCTTGCATTGCTAGGGTTGTCCTTGACTTGCTGGTTTTGCCCGTGCGCGAGGCCGAGTTGGCGCCACACGGGTGCCCCGCCGCGCGCCGGCGACGGCAGGAGGCCACAGCGTGCTCCGATCGAGGGGTCGAGTGGGTCAGCAGCGAAGCTCAAGACTAGGAAGGGCGACCGCAAAAGGACGGTTGCCACCCAGAGCCAGGTCAAGCACACCCCGTGGACGACCAGCCCCCGTGTCCTGCCTTTGGGACCGAGAGAACAGGGGGCGTGGTCCGAGTAGGGCCTTGAGCCGATTACTGTTTAGATGCGCCATGGGCGCGAGTCTAGACCTCCGTGACTACGCGTCCAGGCGCTGCGGGTTTTAAGTTTCATGTTCTAGGTCCTGGAGGGAGTGGTGACCCGAGGGGTGTCCGAGGAGGACGGGCTCACCACCCGCCCCCGCTCGGCCAGGCGGCGCGCCCGGGATCTTGAATGATTCGGACGCCATGAATTCGCAACATGCCCGCAGGCCTTTGCGTTCGAGCTGCGTTGGAGGAAAAAGAGCCCCAAGGTACGCTTCCCCCACGCATCCGCGTAACTTTCGCCAGAATCTTGAGGAGGTCTCTGGCGGGAGCCTCGTCTGTGAGTGTGTCACGTGGGAGTCTCAGGCGGGGGCCCCCTCCATATGGGGTCCGCACTCGCACTTCACGTTGGTAATCCGAGCAGACCATCAAAATCCTAAAATTGTCGCCATGCTTGGGCTGTGCAGGCCTAGATCTTGAGGAAGTCTCGGGCGGGAGCCTCGTCTGTGCGTGAACCGCGCGGAAGTTTTAGGCGAAAGCCCCGTCCCTATGGGGTCCACACTTAATGTAGGTAGCCAAAGCGGCTCATCGGAATTTCGTCGTAATTGTCGTCAGCCTGGGGTTCCTCAGGCCTGAATATGGAGGAAGTCTCAAGCAGGAGCTTCGTCTGTGAGTGAATTGCGAGGAAATCTCGGGCGAGAGACCCCTCCCAATGCGGTCAGCACTTCATGTTGGCAATCCGAGCGGGTCATCGGAAGCTGATAACCGTCGTCGTTGTTTCGGTTCCCAGGCGAAGCACTTGAGCAACCCAACGGGGCACATCACGAGGCGCTCCTCACGCGTATGCGAATGAGTTGCAAGGAAGTCTCTGGCGGGAGCCCCTTCCCTAAGCACGCGTCGCCCGAGGAGGTCGACAAGAGAACGGTGGACTCCAGGGCTGAGGCGGAGCAGCTCGCGGCTGAGCCGAACTTCGTGCCGCATCCCGCCTGAGCGCTGCCGCGAGTAACTCGGTGCCTGCGGGGTTGTCCCAACAGCTTACTCTCGCGCCCCAGCG